TTCGGGCTGTCCGGTGAGAATTATGCGTCCGTAAACGGTTTGCCCATCGTCACTTTCTTGAAAGCCGTCTATTGAAGAAAACAGGACGAACAAATCAAGAGCATGTTGAATCCGGCACAGATATCTGCTGGATCCAGATTACGGGAAACAGCTGTAATACGTAAATACTCTCGGAAAAAAATTTCGTTTTACACAAAAGGAAATTAATTATCAAAAAAGTTATAAATTCTTGTAAAATAATAATTTTTATTGGTTTTTTGTACATTCTCGAAGCAGTCAATATATAATTTGCAGTTCCTTGTAAATTAAAAATGCGATTTTTTTTGCATAGTATGAATACAGACAAGAAACCGGTTTTAAAAATATATAAAATAATTTTACATACACAATTTTAGTTTTGACGGAGCCATTCTGCGATGCACCCAAACCTTTCTCAGTTTGTTTAAGATTTTTTACTGGATGAGGGTTTTTTGAAAGTTTTTGCGCAATGGTGTGTTTTCTTAATTTTTGGTGATATTTCGCTTTAGCCACAGAACGAGCATATTGATTTGCATCGCAAACGCCATGGATACAGACTTGATTACCATGAAAGGAAGTAAGTATATGGCTATATGTATTGTTGTGGGATTCACATTAGTTTGAAACAGTTCATTAAAAAATGATTAAGTAGCGTGTTCATACACAGTTTTAAGTTATACAATATGGGAATGGATTGGTTTAGGGTAAATAAAACTTTATTTGTTGTTAATATAAAAAATCTGAGTCAACCTATGATTTTTTTGAACTTAGTTAGCTTAATATTGACTGAAATTTTAGGCGAAAAAGGGAGGCACGTGAGCCGCACGACAGAGCATTAAAGGCCAGAAAGATGCGCGGTCTGAAAGCTAAGATAACTAGCAGGGAGCGATTTAAGGAAAAGGTTCAGATGAAGAAAACGATTCGTATGCATGAAATGCGGAACGTCAAACAAAAGGCTGGAGAGGCCGGTGGCTCTGGTGATAAGCCCGTTTATTTGCTTGACCGTGAAGAACAGAATATGTCAAAAATCCTCTCTAACACGGTTAAACAAAAACGGGCTGAAAAGGCCGTAAGTTGCGATTGTATTGTTTGTTTTCGCGGGTTTACAGCGAATGTTCGTTCCAATCAAATTAGATTTAATGGAACATGTATTGTCCTAGTTATTTAGTTTACATTTTGTACTTTTTTGTTGGTGTGCATTGTACGTTACATGTCGATGCATGCTCATTCCTCATTTGTATTTCTTTCTTGAGAATCCTGGCATAACGCCTTGAATTCTGCGTCTACATATGGGGTTATGTTCATAACAGCACTATTTGTCTAGGGTAAATGGCAAGTTCCTTTGCCAAAAGTACGCACAGTTTCCGACGCGGAGGCATTTCGGGTGGTAAAATCTGGGAAGTCGAAGCGGAAGGCTTGGAAACGTTTGGTCACCAAGATGTGTTTTGTTGGAGACAACTTTACTAGGAAGCCGCCCAAGTTTGAGCGCTTCATCCGCCCAATGGCCATGCGTGCCAAACGCGCTAATGTTACCCATCCAGAGTTAAAGACAACATTCTGTTTGCCCATTATCAGCGTTAAGAAGAATCCAAGCTCCCCACTCTACACTAGTCTTGGCGTTCTCACTAAAGGAACAATCATAGAAGTAAGTTCATTTATGTTAGTGTTATTTTCCCGAACATATGGCCGTGCTCCGCAAAACTCATTTGCGGATATTTTAGGCCGCCAGGTTTGTTAGCCTTCATAATTACACAAAGCATCCCCTATAGGTTGACGTTTGCCAACTGTATCCAATCTGCATAGTTATATTTTGTGACATCACAGATTTACAAATCCTACTTTTTTTATTATTTTGCACTGGTCGTCGGATAATGTTTAGTCGAAGTTTCAGAGTACTGTGCGAAAGCCCTATCATTTTTACTCGTTTTCCCAATAGTCATCATCGTGTATGCTTGGCACTGAATGAGTTCAGAGTAGACCTACGGTTCAGTTTGAAGTCTTACAGCTAAAGCATTAATCTTTTTTTAAGGTTAACGTGAGTGAATTGGGACTTGTGACACCTGGCGGTAAGGTTGTGTGGGGCAAATACGCTCAGGTAACGAACAACCCCGAAAACGAAGGTTGTGTCAACGCCGTCCTGATCGTCTAAACCCAACGAAATTGTTCCGTCGATTGTACAGAAAATTACTATACTGTGGTCTACGAATATAGTTACTTCGTTTAAAGTTACACATCGTCTGATTTTCTTTTCATTAAGCAATTTATTGGACCGGTTCCGGTACTGCACATGGAGACTGACATTGTGTTCACTTATAGCAGTCACAAAAGGAATGGGTGAACAAATCTTCAGTTAGGTATTTACGTAATCACCTGCGCTCAGAGCAAAAAATTGAAGTTTACGGTCACTCATTCTGACGATTTAGTCCAGAAGTAGTTTCTAGGTTTTCATTAAAATAACTTGCAAAATAAATAATGCCAGAGCAAACCGCTCAAGTCATGAGGATCCCAGTGTGCATCGGATTAACAATGAAATTGTTAACTGAGAAGGTTGATGGATCGTGTTATTGGGCCTCTGAGGTTATTTTTCCCGTGTAAGGCAGTCGAGAAGCACTACCAACCACTTAGCTCTGCACTTTATCGGGCAAATCGATGGGAATTTAAAATGGTATGAAAATCCCCTGTGGCGGGAAATCGACAGGCGCTGTGATGAGATAATATCAGCGTCTGGAGAACCGGTACAGGGTCACAGATTCATGTTATGTCCGTGCCGATTCCTGATTCATTTTTTTAATAATTGGGACGAAACCCAAAGACAAGGAATACAATCACGTCGCTAGTCCTTGAGTTCCAACTTAAGACAAATGGATAATTGCTACCCGACTCGGACCGTAATTCGATTACTCAACGTCGAAGCACCGAGAAATTACCGAAAGACTACGAGAACCAACAATACTACTAGTTTTTAAATTAATGTGCAGCAACGTTATTCCTACCTGAATTTATGTTCAAATCTTATGTTAGAACACGGAATATTCCTAGCTTTCCTGATATCACCGGCCTTATGATGTTAGCCCTTCACCAGATAGAACATTAAGTGAATTCGGCGGTTAAGGTTTCTTCACATTGCCTCTAGTGCTAACTGTCTTCTACAGTCCACGACCCAAAAGTGAAAATATTGGGTTAAAAATACCCAACCAATTTAAGACCAATGAATTCGCTTTCAATAGTACTTTAGAGCCATTATAAGTGTAGATAAGATTCGAAATCGGAAACATAACTCAAAAATCACTTATTGGTTTTAAAATTGACTTTAATGAGCACTAGGCTCCTGAGTTGACCCTATGTTACGTCAGTAAGCTGCTGCAGGAAGGGAAAACCGACTATTTATGGTGATATTTATGGGGAAACAATGTACAGAAAAAGAGACCACGAAATTATATAACAAGCAGAAGCCCCTTTGCAAATTGAAAAGCAAGCCGAACATTAGCTGGACTAATTTAATCACGAAATCTAATTTTGACGCAATACTTTGGTCTTTATATAGGGTTCACGTTAAGCAGAATAAACAAGTACATAAAATGAAAAATACATTCGAGAACAACCAGAGAACTTAAGTGAATCCGAATTGCCTGGTAGGCTATCTGTGTTAATATGCACTCTAAATGCATATAAAAAGAGTTTAAAATCATGCAGAATACCACTTTGTATTTAATTTAAAATCAGTACGTACAGGACCAAACCTAACTATTTCGAAACCATATGTCTCATCAAAAGAGAGGCAAATCGATCATATTTCTTGACATCCTGAGCAAGTTCGGCAACATACTTAAGGGTCTACAAATAAAATGTTGGAAAATCGAAACTACTGTGTGATTGTTTGAGGCTTTAACCACGAGCTTCTGATCTTTGTGTCGATACTTAGTTACTAGTCTAAACTAATGTTATAAAAAAATTTAACTGGTAAAATTATTTACCTTCATCGGGTCTTCAACGTACAGCTTCTCGGCGGCATTAGCGAAATCTTCCCAAGTGACAAACAACGTCATCGTGCTGTAGTGTTATAGCGCGGTGTGGCGATGCCGCAGTGTAATGTTGTGTGGTGTGGCGTGGCGTCGGATTAGGGCGCAGACATGTTGGACCACCTGGCCTCAGCCAATCCTGTGTCTCTCTGCAATCCAATGGCATGCGGGAAAGAAAGGCAGCCAACCAGAGAAGGACACGACTGAGAAGCAGTATATAATGGGCGGCGTGGCCAGCGAGGTC